ACATATAGGCCTGGCCTACAGAAAAGAACATTTATGTTTAATCTATCTAATATTGTGTTGGTCATACTATACAATGATTTATAGCTTATCTTTGTTGAATAATACAGAGCATAAAGAGCTAAAAAATAATTGCATATTAAATCGCAATATTGGTAAAAAAAATCGTTCAGCCTTAGTGTGTGTGTGTGTGTGTGTGTGTGTGTGCAGCTGCTAGTGGTTGTGGCTGATGAATTGCCTATTTTTCATGTGTTTCAGTGGAAAGACGCGAAACCCGATGACCTCATGGATTCCAAACTCAGATGCGTCTTTGAGCTGCCGTCTGAAAACGATAAAGTGGTGAGTACAGCGAGACGAGCGTCTGCAGTTCACTCCACCCTGCTGTAAATTGAATTATAATTGTATTAATCAGCAGAACGTGCTTGACTCCGAACATTCACCCGTATTATAAGGTGCTGTGAGTGATTGTTTTGTACAGCTATCGGTGAAACAATCAGCCAATCACAAACACTCCCTGCCTGTCAATCACGCATTCTGATTGGCTGAGGTCTTTGGGAGGCGGGGTTTTAGGGGGGATGGGAGTTTGATTCAGTCTGACATCATCTCTTCAGTTTTAAGTTAAATTTGAAGGAAGAATTTTGTTGTGGTTTTAGTTTCACTAATGTCGTTTTCTGCACTTAACTAGCTTGTGTAGCTTCTTTTCACCGACACTGATACACACAAGGGCTGCACAATTAATCAAAATAAAACCGAAATTGAGATATCTTTAAGGACTTCTTGCAGTTTTTTGTCAAAATAAAAGCTTGATGGTTTAAACATTTATAAATTAGGAAATTAAGCCATAAATGTAAATAAATAATAATGTAAATAATTAATATTTGTAAATAATTTTTTTCTTAAATACTAGTTTGTTTTATTTTACAGAAAAATTATATATGTATATATATATGTGTGTGTGTGTGTGTGTGTATTTTTTTTTTACTAACATTTTTTAATAATTATTTTTTAAATAATAATAATAATTAATATTATTACCTTATAGTTATGTTAATATGTAAACACTAAATATTTAATATAAATATAATATAAAAATAACATACTATAATAGTTTTTTATATTTAATTGTTTTATTTTCTGTTTTAATTTCAAAGTTTTAGTAATTTTATTGTGTTTTTGTTATTTTTATTAGTTGTTTTTTATGTCTGTATAGTTTTTGTTAGTTATTTTAGTATATCAAGTTAAACTAAATCTAAATGAGAAATGTTGCTTTGGCAACTAGCTGAAATAAAATAAGTTGATTGTTTTACTATTTTATTTTCTTTCATTTTACGTTTATGTCAGGTAACAACTTTTTTTCATGGCTTCAGTTTATTATAATAACAAGCACAGCAAACCTGGAGCTTTTTTTTTTTAAATCACATTTTAAATCGCAATCACAATTTTTATCACAAAAATCACAATAATTTTTTTCCTGAAATCGTGCAGCCATAATACACACACACGCACACTCACACACACACACTCACTCACACACACACACACACACACACACGCACGCACACAC